GTGGTGGTGGTGGTGGTGGTGGTGGTGGTGGTGGTGGTGTTGGTGGTGTTGGTGGTGTTGGTGTTGGTGTTGGTGGTGATGGTGATGGTGATGGTGATGGTGATGGTGATGGTGTTGGAGGTGGAGGTGGAGGTGGTTATGGTGGTGGTGGTGGTGATGGTGATCGTGATGGTGGTGGTGGTGATGGTGATGGTGGTGGTGGTGGTGATGTCAATGTTGATGATGATGATTACGATAACATTGACGATGATGATGATAATGAAATCGATGCTGGTGGTGGTGGTGATGGTAATGATGATGCTGTCGATGATGATGATAATTATGATTATGATGTTGATGATGATGGGGTGGTGATGGTGGTGGTGATGGTGATGATGCTGATAGTGATGATATGATGATGATAATGACTATGATAATAATAATTCAAGAATTAAATTAGTTAAATACTAGGTAATATATTAATTGCTGTTCCCATCACGCGTAATTAATTACCGTGAAAAATTGTAAATATTGCTTATAAAATGTATATGCGCGTGTATATATGTGTGTATGTATCGTAAACAATACATGCACTTAACACCATAGGTGCGCACACATTCATACATACACACACAGCATGCGCAAAAAATTTCATTACTGTATTCTGTATATCGATGTATTACAATGCCTTGATGCTAATGAATATAAAGCAAACGCATTGCATATAAATGTCATCGTGTACCGAATACATCGTTTACATGCGATAACGTAGAAGGAAAAATATTTCATTTAGTGAGAAAAATTAAGAAGATTAATTATGAAATGAAAAAATGGAAAGAAATAAATAATTGTTTCTTAAATAGAGTTTCTCATATTGAATTAGAGAAACGGAATTTTACGTTGAATTTGTAGGGATTATGGTTTCAATTATGAAACGAAGTAAATGATCGAAGCATAAAGCTTATTTAGTAATGTCTTATAATTTTACAAATACTTAGATCTGAAAATATTTAGTAGAAGAATTTTTTATGTTACTCTTTTTCTTTTAACTGAGAAGTCTGTCTCATGCTTTCTATATTGTCCAAATTTTCATATCTTTCGAACAAAAAATGTCATCAGATTTTACGACTCGTACATGTTGAATGTGAATATTTACTTTAAAAAATATTGTAACAAAAATTATTATTTATTTTTTATGAATAATTAAATTTGTATATTGAAATCATGATAAAAATATTATACACAATGTAGATTATTAAGTTACAATAGGTCTTTGAATTATTTGTAACTCTAATAACATATTTTATACATTCATGATATACGAAGATATACATTTTAAAGCACGATTTCAGTGATGTTATCTTTGATACTCGCTCTGATCTTTCGCCTTTTAAAGTGTATTTTAATTTTAAATGTAATATTTAATATTAATGAATGCACGAGAATTCAAAAAGAATTATGTCAGTTAAATTTTATTTCTTGATTAATATATTCGATATTAAATAGATCTTATCTTTCTCTTTAATACATATATTAACTATAAATTTTTATTCTAGAACATTATCCGTTGTTACATTTTCTAATAATGGTTGTTAAATAAATAATTTGAAAAAAATTGAAATGCACTTAAGACGCGACAAGTTTATGTAAAGATTAAAAATTAATTAAGATTAATAAATTGAGATTGATCATATACTACTCATTCATATAAAATAATTTTTTTTTTTATCATTTATCATTAAATTTTCATCTAACAGATACTTATAATCGTAGCCATACAAATTTGTTGCCTAGCATACTATTGTACATTTGTATTGAATAGGTGTATTTCTTTCTTGTTCTGTGTTTATTATTAAGATGCTCGTGGCAACAAGAAAATAAAGCTTTCAAGTAAATTAAACGAAATTTTAGTTAAAAGGATCAGTAAAAATATATATGTGGGAAAGAAAGTTGTATATGTAAAGTCCAGTTAATTAACGCACTATCGGATTATCTAATAGCGACGACTATTTCTTCATTATGTAATAAAGCATTTAATTAACGTGAGAATGTTATGTCTTTTCGACTTAGTGGTATAAAATAAGATGTGATTTTCTTCAATAATATGCCCGTTAATGGATCTATAATATAATATAAAATTTGTGATAAACCTATTATATTATTATATTAAATATTCTTGTTCTAACGTAGCATCGTAGTGACTGTTTTTCTCTAAGATTTTAGCGAATTATTAAATATCAATCGCATTGTCCGAATTAATATAAAATCGTACATATATTTCTAGATTTATAAAATAGCAAAATCTGTCTATGGAAAAAAAGAAGGAAAATTGATTTTTAACATTTCAGAATATGGAAATTTGAAATTGGATATTTCATCTTTTAAGGTAAATAAAAATTCGAGTTAATTCGAATTTTAAATTTGAAAGCTGTAATGCATTTAAAATTATAATGTATACTTTTTACTAGTGAAGTTACCGAAACATCGATGCGTTACAAGTTACAAAAGATGTTATCGACGAAATTTTGAGCGATGATTATTTAAATATTTATATTTTTTGCGGTCAGAAATTATAAAAAAGAAATAATTAATAGTGACTTGTTAAATCGAATTTCAGCGTTTATCATTAAACAATTGCATTAAAAGCATGGAAAATATAGATTGATGATAAATCGAAGTGTACATTAAATTAAACAAATTTTTATGTTTTCAAATGAGTAGAAACGAATGTGCTCATTAACATACATAAGCACTGAAAACAATATCTCGTATTAATTGTAACTTTTCTTCTTGCTTAATATGAAAACGTTCTTCGCTTTTCGTTACCAAGTAGCTTCTCTTTCACTGCCATTTTAAAATTATAAAATCGTTAGTTTTCTCTTTAAATTTAGTGTTTTTAAATTACACACATACAAAGTGCAATGTTACGATACTACCATACGTAAATCTTATGTACATGTTGAAAAGTAATTTTAATTGTACATTAGGTATTAAGACTTAATTTCAATAATTCAAAGAATTTATAGCCCTGGCATACCCTGTAAATGTATTATTATTATTATTGTAATTGTATTATCTTTATTGATCGAAAGAAACATAGAAATGTATATTATAATTATTTTCTACAAATTAAGGTATAATAATAAATGAATTGCGTAACCCAATATAATAATAATAACAGTAATAACATATAAAATTTGTTGTTATTTAATAAGTAAAAAATGCATATTGAACTTTTATCATATTCTACAACAAATTTACGATATCTATTGGATATACTTGTACCTACAATTCTATAGTTTTCTATTTCTTGCTGGTAATATACTATATTCTAACTCTACATTTATTTAAAAAATGATTTATTTATTTTACAGACAAAATCTAGTATAAATTTAAAATTTAATAAATTGGTACGTTTCACGATTTGAAGGCTTTAAATTATAAAATCCATTTATCATTCTCATATCGTTTTCAATGTTACTAATTTAGCATAGAGCAAGAATTGAACATCACTTTAATTCTATGCTCAAAAGTGATTACAACCAAATAAGAAAACGCTTAAACTCTTTAATTTTATTTAATGAATATAAGACCGCCTAACTGGACCATAATTTCAACTTCTTTTTAATATAAATATATATTTCATATTTAAATTATTATCAACGAGAATACTACACATTTTTTAAACTTCGTATCACATTCCAAAAGAGAGTGTTAAAGGAACAATATTAATAACAAAGGTAAGTTTGATAAAAAATTACTTTACTTAATATAGCGCTAAAAAAAGATTTATTTGTTTAAAACTCAAAAGTATTTCAAAAGTAGATAATTCTTTCGTTTCTTTTATAAAATTTAATTTTGCATTATTTAAAAAAATAAATTGCAAATGAAACTGACAGAGATTATTAGTCGGTTAATTAAAACTATTTAATAATTTTTTTCACTTTACTCACATTTCAATATCTCACAAATCTCTCATATTTGAAATATATATTTTATAAAAATCGAGTAATAGATAAAATCGTGTTGTAATATTCGCGACTCATATAAAAGCAGTGAGAAATTACAAGTACTAGATTGAATATCTTTCCTGTAATATCTTATAATTTATTAATTTATATGATTTTGTTGCAATTTCATATAATTTGATAATGTAATATAATGATAAATTTAATAATTTAAATACTTTTGACGAGATAAAATATTTTTATTATGCATTTAATATTGGAGTAAAGACAAAGTTATTAAAAATTATGTTGATCAATGATCCTCAAGTGAATATTATCATGATCATATAAAAAAGATAATATAAAATTCCTAGAATATAAAACTGTAGAAATACCGAAGAGGAAAACATATCTTATTTTACTAGTCAATAACTTATATATTTGCGACTTGTCATAAATTTTGTATCTTATTTCTTTGCAACAGTTTATAATAATTTATTTTAAAAGTATATTCCTATTTAATAATTATGTGTTAAATATATAAATTTAATAATTTTAATAACTCTACTTTTTTATATAATTACGAAGTATTGTTATTAATAAATTAATATTGGTATTAATATAATAATTATCATCATCATCATCATCATTATTGTTGTTGTTGTTGTTGTTATTGAATTAGTTATAACACATTATAAAACAAGATAGTGAATGATAATAAAACTAACTCAATTTAACAAAGAATCATACAAGTTTCGCTTAAATACTTTAATTCGCAACTATCTAAGGTATCAGAAGTGTAAAATATTTTTTATACCCCGTATACAAAATTATTCAATGAATATATATATATATACATTATATTTAATAACTTTATCCATTAATAATGTAATTTTTATTAAAACCAAATTTTTGTTAACATTACATTTTAAAAAGTCATTGTATACTATTAACTGAAACATCGAATAGAATACATTATACCACTCCAATTATATAACCTATATCATTTATGAACAGATCGTTTTCCTAAAAAAAAAAAAAAAAAAAAAAAAAAAAAAAAAACAGAATAAGAAGCAGTCATGACATTTGCTACCTTAAATTTAAGTCAGTGGCTTGTTGAACAATGTAATTTTATGGGTAAAAATTTAATATTTATTTACTTTTTTAATGTAATTTACTTAGTTTTTAGTTAGGTTGTACTTGTTATTGAAATTAATTCAGAAAATAGTTGTATTATTATTTATTTTAGGCTTAAAATATCCTACACCAATCCAACAAAATTGTATCCCAAGAATTTTAGCTGGTGAAGACTGTATTGGTTGTGCAAAAACTGGCAGTGGCAAGACACTTACTTTTGCACTTCCTATATTACAAAAATTATCTGAGGAACCGTATGGCATATTTACACTCGTTTTAACACCAACTAGAGAACTTGCTTTCCAAGTATGTTGTTATTATTTATTATTTTATTATTTTAATGTTATTTATTATTTTAGATATGATTAAATATATTTAATAAAGTTTGTTATTTGCAGATTGCTGATCAGTTTTCAGCAATAGGAAAATGTATTGGTTTAAGAAAAAGTGTGATTGTGGGTGGTATGGATATGGTTATACAAGGTTTAGAATTGTCAAAGCATCCACATATAGTTGTTGCAACTCCAGGACGCTTAGCCGACCATCTTGAAAGCTGTAATACATTTTCTTTGAAGCAAATTAAATTTTTGGTTTTAGATGAAGCTGATAGACTTTTGGAAGGTCATTTTGATGGTCAATTAAAAACTATATTTGAGTCTTTACCTAAACAGAAACAAACATTACTTTTTAGTGCTACAATGACAGATACCCTTAATAAAGTGAAACATATAACTTCCAAGAAGGTATTATAAACTCCTATAAATGTTAAAATTAAACAAAGAATTATATAATGAACAATAACTTGTACTATTTCTAAAGGTATTTATATGGGAATCAAATGATAAATCTGGTGTAGCTACAGTAAGAGAACTTGATCAACGTTATGTGCTTTGTCCAAGCAATGTTCGTGATTCTTTTTTAGTTGAAACAATTAGAACTTTCCGAGCAAGTAATGAAAATGGATCTATAATGATATTTACAGATACTTGCAAGTGAGATGAAATTATTTACTTACATACATTAATTTAAATAATATAAGGATATTCTATGTTCTGTCACATGTTATATTTTTTAGACATTGTCAAGTATTGTCTATGACATTAAATGATGTTGGATTTAAAAATGTAGCTCTACATTCAATGATAAAACAGAAAGATCGTCTTGCAGCACTTACGCAATTTAAATCTAATCACATAAGAATTTTAATAGCTACAGATGTTGCAGCAAGAGGTTTGGATATTCCTAAAGTTGAATTAGTTATAAATCATATTATACCAAACGTACCAAAGGAATATATTCATAGAGTTGGAAGAACAGCTAGAGCAGGAAAAAGTGGTATGGCAGTTACTTTAATAACTCCACATGATATTAAATTATTACATGCAGTTGAAGATACTATTGGTACAAAACTCACAGAATATAAAGTTAATGGTAATATAATTTTAAATTTAATATTCCACAAAATAAATCAATATATATTAATGAAACTTTTTACTATGTAGATAAAGAAATAGTTACAATTTTAACACAAATATCTGTTGCAAAACGAGAAGCGGAAATGAAATTGGATGAAAAAAATTTTTATGAGAAAAAAATAATCAATAAACGTAAAAAGCTTATTCTTGAAGGAAAAGATCCAGATGAAATTGAGGAAATAATAGAAAAAAAGAAACGTCATAAAGCAAAAAAAAAACAAGTTCTTGAAAATCGACGTGGTAAAAGTAGTGTGTAATTGTTTCATCAAGATAATGTTTTATTATCTTTAGAAGTGTACATATAGCACAATGATTAGCATGTTAAGTTATTCTTGTAATAAAACATACTAATATTCAGTACATAAAATATACATATTTCTATTGTATAATTGTGTAAGTTACAATAAGTATTTTCATGTATGTATTTGTTAAAAATTGAATTCAAAAAATAAATTTAAAGTTAATATAAAATATTTAGTTAATAATGTTTTTTTTCTGTATGTCTGTTTAAATGAACACTTTTGTGTGTATTGATATATGTGATTATAATAATTTTAAATTATAATTTTAATTGTCATCCAAAAACATATATCTTTACAATCAATAAATTTCACAGCCAAAATTAGCTAAACCAAAAGTTCTGATCAATAAATAACTTTGACATTCTTTTTTTTTTTTATTTAATTTATATAAAAGATAAAAATATCTGTATCAAAGAATTACATATTTCACTAATACCGTATGTTATTTTACATATATTGCAAAAATAACTAATAAGACATTACATGACACATTTAAGAATATGCTCCTATTTTTTTTCATTTTGGTTTATATGTAATTTATTCAAAAAAGCATTCAGTTCTGCAACATATTCTTTGGGGTATGTCTGATAATGTCCAACATGTGGAGATTTTTCAAATATTTTAACATAAGTCTGAAAGAGAAACATGTAAATATTTCTACACAATCCTACAGTTCATACGTTTTTATATCTTACCTTTGTGCCCAAAGCATCCCAATTATTTTTCACTCTTAGATTACTTGCTACTGTACCCACTGGGTCTGATTTACTTATAAGAAATAATGCTGGGCTACGTACCAAATTTGAATGAAACAATTGACTAGATCTTATGTAATATTGGGTAGATTGTTTATAAAATGCTTTCATATGATATCTGTAAATTATATTAGTATATATGTCATTTATTCTACAAATTTATGAATGCTGTGAGAAATTAAATTTAAAAATAAACCTACTCTAAATATTTTTGAAACATATTTTGTACCATTTCACTTTTTGGAAATATAGCACGTGTTGTACCTATTGATAATTCAGTCACATCAGCCAAACTATCCCATACCTGACCAATAATTCTGTCAATTACATTATTATATTTTTTATGATCACTCTGTATTAAATCTAGTATTTCCCCCCACATATATCCAGCTACTGAAAATCCATGTAATAGTATTTGTTGATAATTTTGATGTTGTATTAGAAATTCTAGTAAATCTGCAGCAACTAACTAAAAGAAAATCTTTACAAATTAAATTATATATTATGAATATTAATATATCATATTGTAGTCTATATTTCTTATATTTACTCTAGATCCTTTGGTAGGCCACATTAATTGCCATGGTGTAATTGATACTACTACAATATCAAACCCTTGTTCCACATATAAATTTACATATTTCATGATATGTTTACGCTTTGATAACAACCAACTAAATAAAATTAACAAAGGTTTGTTTTCCCCATCTTTAAATTTCTGTACAACTGTATCTGATTTAATTTGATCATTTTGCAAAATATGTTCAATATTTTTTGTAACATGATAATTGGATAATTTACACATCAATAAAAATACAGTCTAAAAGAAAATTTATTAAAAGACAGAATTTTATAAAATATTATATTAAGAAAATAACAAATAAACATTACCAAATGTTGTCTCTGGTTTAGTAACTGTGGTTTTACATGGGAAATTAATCTTGTTCTAACAAGCGTAGATAGTAATACTCTACCAGCTATCATTATGATTAATTAAAGTACACTTTATATTTGTAGTTAAAAGGTGATGGAGCTTGTAAATAATACGTTAACGAGACTTTTTGTATATACTTATTGCAATATATATAAAAATTACCAATTAAAAATTACGAAATATTTAATTTATATACATTATAATCTTTAGTGTAATAATATCAAAATCTGTAAAACTGTCGACTGGAACACAGTACAAACTGATTGTTACTTATAATCTATAACATTTTTATTCGTTAATACACTATATGGTCTTTATTTATTTTTATGCTTATTCACTTATGTGCATATGTATGTATATATACGTACATCCGCAAATTAGTACCAACCGCGAATATCAAATTTTATTTGGATGTTCGTATATACATTCGTGTTATATTTGCATGTTATAATTTATAATATGTATTTTAAACAGTTTAAAAGTTATCACATTTTTTTTCATTCCCGTAACGGTACTAAAATTTAAAAGCGTGATCTAAAAATTCAAAAATAGATATTTGAATACATTTTTAATATTTAGAATATGTTTTAATTCCGTATTTAATTAAATTTTTTCTAACATAACAAATATACGTAAATACAAATAAAAAAATTATATCAATTGAGTTGTTCATAAACTGAAGTAATTTATTCCACCTTTTGAACTTTTTAAATTTTTATATCAAATTATTTACTCGATTTTTAATATTTATATTTAAAATAAATTTCTATTTTTGTCTTTGTGAAGATAGATAGATAACATAGATAGATAGTCGATTTGGTAGGTGAGTGGCTTGATTATTGTAACTACTCATTATATTTTGCAGAACTTATTAAAACAAATGGAGAAAAATAGAAAAGAAAGTTTACAACAAAATAATTATTTAGCACGTAACGTATTTTCATGTCTATAATTATATTTTTAAATACACAATTTATATATTAAAATTAGAAATGGTTAGTAGCAGTATTTTAAATACAACTGTTTTTCTTATTATATTTTATTGATAACAACATAATTAATTAAAAAACTTTTCAGGTACTATCAAATTTATTAATAATAAAAGTTACAATATTGCAATAGGAAATAATCACTCATAAATACATTTTTTAAGAGTTTGTAGTGCTATTTATCATACTTTTTATTTGATATTTAAATGTTAATTTTATAATTTCTAAGTTGTTCTGAATGTACTATATAAATAAATTTCATACATAATTTTGCATTAAAATAAAAATACCAAATAATAGGTATAACTAACAAGTGATAGATCATATAATTATTTTTAAAAAAATATGAAGATATATTAGATTTAACATTAATCACTGACTTTGTTATTGTATAAATTACATAAATTTAGATTTAAGATATCAGTTTTAATAGAGTTATTGCCCTCAATTTTATTTTACAAAAGAATATGACATAAAAAAATGAGTTTCAATTTCTTATAGAGTAATTATATTTTGTTTACAATCCTAAGCTATACTTTTGTTACTTTATTTACTTCAAAATGTAATTCAAATTGCATTTCAAAAAAAGGAATTAAAAATAAAAAATCTGTAAATTATATTAATTTTAAATTTTCATACTTTCATTATCACATACATCAATATATTGTTACTAGTTTTATTATTATTTAAAATTTATTTTATATAATGAAGTAATGTTTGTTTTATAAACAATTATCGCTACTAATAAGTTACTTAATCTTAATCTTATATATGTATGTTATATAAAACACCTACATATAAATACATTTTATATGGCGTACACTACTGTATATGAAGATATATCGTTTTATAACATTAGAAGAAGAGAGAAAGAAATTTTATATTAAAATGACAAATAAGTATAAGATTGTATAATCAACATTTTTTCCATAATTTGAAAAACTATTTCTTTTTTAACTTAGCAGCAATAATTATAATGCTGTTACATAGTTATGATTTTTTTATTAAGAAGATTTAATAAAGATAAATTAAATTTTTGTATGTATTTTATAAATCACCAATTCAAATACTTTTAATATTTCTTCCTCTGTTATCCTGTTTATATATTTTATGTGCACATAAACATGTACTATCCACACATATACTTATACATTAATAAAGATTTATAAAAGATATTTTTGTTATGTTGTAAATACAGATATATAAATTAAATAAATTATAATATATATAAAAAAGTAATACAGAATCAGACTTATTCTATGAACAATAAGCATTGCTTTAAAATTAATGTAATTGAATAATAACAATGCTAATATACTAAAGATTTCTTATGCACGTTTATACATGATTAAGAATAGCATTCTCAATGGGAAAAGAATTAACCAAACATTGATTATTTGGTCTTAGGAAGCTCATTAATTCTTCTTAATAATTTCTTATAATTATATTGTGTGAAGTAGGCTCTTAATGATATAATTTCTTATTATGCTTGAACATGTAAATATTCCATAAGTAAGAAAAACATTAAATTGTACAATACAGATATACAATTGAGTTTACTGTTAGTATTAATAATACAACTTACTGTTTCTGTCAAAAACTATTTAACTGAAATGTCTACAATTTTGCAAAAATATAGGCCAGTCTTTAATAATCACATGTTTAACAAAAATGGCTTCATATAATTAAAAATTATTCTATAAGCTTCAGTATATCTTTGTGTAAGGAAAAAGTGTATTAATATTTAATATAATACACTTTAATATAAAATACAGTCCATGATGAAATATTATAAGTTCTTCCATATAATAAGAATTATATAAAAGAATAATAATTTTTAAGAAAAATAATATACGTATTAATTTATCAGATTATGATCATATTAAGATAAAAGATGACATAATTTTTAGAAATAAATACAATTCTTTAAGTTCATATAATTTCAATGATACTATAAAATATGCTATGTAAATTTTTTAAAAACAACAGTTCCAATAAATTGAACAAAATCTTAATAATATTACTACTAATTTAATAACAATTCAAGCTTCATAAAAAAACAAATTACCTTATTTTCAAAAATCACTACAAATAAAATATTGTTTCAAATATAGATACATATAACCTCATAGACTTTACTGTACTAAATATAACGGAACTAATTTTGTATTAATAAAAACAATATTGAGATATTTTTATGTAACTATTTTTGTTCAAATGGCAGTATTGACATGTCATAATCTCTTGCTTTGTTACTAACTTTTAATAATTTTTTTTTTAATATAACAATAATGGCAGTAACTATTTAGAACAATTTTACTACATTTCATTCTTTGTATAATTAGAAAATGTCATAATCATGACAAAAAGATGTAAACATACTACATGTAATATACAAGTATATGCTGCTACATTATGATGTAGATTACTCTCACAATTTAAATCCTACACTTACCTTCAGAGTAACGATTACATTTTTAATAAACCTGAAAAATGACGTGCAATATGTCACTTCGGACTTGTACAGAATTATATACAAGTTTCTAATACAAAATGATTTTGCGCTGTATCTCAGAAAGCTTCGACAAAACTTGCCGGAAAAAGACCAGTACGACCAGTTCTTTGCTGAGTGCCTTTGTACCAGCCATCATCACGCTTTTTGTGCACATAAATTATATCTCCTACTCGAAGTTCTAATTCAAATTCGCTGTTAGGTGGATATGGCACAATACAACGAAATCGATATACTCGTTCTCTGAAGCAAAAAATAATATTTAAAGGATTGTAAAAAGAAATAGGAAGAAATAGGAAGAAATAGGAAGAAATAGGAAGAAATAGAAAAGATAAAAATAAGAAATAAAACAACCTCAGTAATAATTAAATATTTTTTACCGTTCGCGAGTAGATTGTTGCTTCGCTTGCTTTCCCATACCAGCATCTAAGGAATTACTCTTACGGTGATGATTTCCTATTGGTGTACATGCCATTCCACCTGACTCGTTAGATCTATGAATATTAATAATAATAGTAATAAATGCATAAATGCAATAGTTTCAAGAATATTTGTTAATTTTGTACACTGATCATACATTAAATGCACACATACTCGAACAAGCAAATTTTTGATAAAATTCATAACTTATAAAAACAGTAACAACTACAAAACGTAACTAAAACACAGGTATGAAATTTAATACTTTAATGTTATCAATGTTATCAATGTAATCAAGCATTTGCAACATACACATCTTAATTTTTGCGATATTTATTAATATACTTACCTATATCTTATACTAGTACACATTTAATTGCAAACATTACTGCAGTTAAAAATATGCATCACACAATTATTATATACATATTATGTCATTATAAAAGACTAAATACAATTTCCATTTTATATATGAGCTGGACAACTATGTCAAGATAAATGCATTTTACTGTAAATACTAAGTTTGAATTATTTTATTTGTCAAACATAATTTTAATAACTGACCTTTGAAGAATTGAGACCGGTAAAGATGGTCTCTCCTTGTATTTAAGTCTTTGTGAAGATGTGACATGTCCCTGCACAGAGCCTGGACACAAACGATGGTGGTTGTTTGAAGCATTTAATTCCTGTGTAGCTCCCACCTGTAGCAACTGACTTGGGCAAGATCCCGATCTAATTTTAAATATATCCGCCCAACCCCCCCCCCGTGTAGAATTAGACAAATAATTCAACACGTGCAGCTCATATTGTGTTAAAAAATAGAATTGAAAAAAAAAAAAAAAAAAAAACAGTTTAAAGACAAACTATTTGTATATTATATAACTAATTTTTTTATTTTTTTCTATATATGCAAACATATTCATGCAGTGCTAGTTTTAATAATTATACAACACACGAGGAAAATACATATACACAATTACACATATCTTATATGCACATAAAAATATAAATAATTTTAAAGTAACAATGCATGCGAAGTGTTAATAAAATATTAAGTATATTATAAACATGCATAAACGGATTATTTAAAATTGTTTTATTCGTTTAAAATTTATATATTTAAATTTATTATTATGCTTATACAAAGCATAAACTTATTACTATAATGAAAAAAGAAACTTACCGAACATGTACTGGATTGATGGAATTACTATCTTCGAAAACAGGATTATCCATTGAATATGTAGTAGGTGGTGGTGATTTTGATTTCTTGATATTGGTTAATCGACGCATTAAAGAAACACATTTATCCTTTTTTTCCCTCTGCTATACAGTGTAAAAGTACATATGCATGCTTTATTTATATATATTTGTATAATTAGAAAACTAATATCATACAAATATAAACATACCTTTTCAGTGTTTTTCGATACAGAAATAGATGCAGCAGAAGAAGGAGAAGCCACAGCATGCAAAATACTATTTGGACTTTTATTCATTTCATTCATGATGGAAGAAGCAGCACCAGTAACAGCAGGGCCACTATTATTAATACTAGTAATGGTAGTTGTAGTCATTAGTGATTGTGGTAAAGTTATTTGCTTTCCAGGAGAAGCTAAAACAAAAAGTAATGTCATGTATTTTAATAGAATATATATTAAAAAATTATTACATACAAATATTCGGTGACATAACAGCACTATGACTACGCCCAAGAGGATTTGCTGAATTTTGTTCCTTGTATCGAGGAGGACTGCTTTCTTGATTTTGAGTCTGACTTTGACCATGCCAAGATGATGATACCATGAAAGACGGACTAATAGCGCGTGGTGGTAATTCTGGTGGTAACAATGTACGCGAGTTATAGGGTTGAGGAACCGATCCTTTATTTTTAGTATAAGTCGCAGTTATTCGTGACTCAGTACTATTTTGGCTTGTTGATGATAGCAAATTCTGATGCTGCCCGGTATTTGGTAATCCTCGACACAAACCACGTTGACATCTACGAAAATACAATTATTTAAAATCCAAAAAATAATATTATATATTTTTATTATAAATATTTCATATACTTAGCAGGTGCAACATAATTTCCTGGAAAAACTCCACACTTTTGAGTACGATTAGAAGTTCCTTTAAACCACCCATCTTGACAACGTTCCGTCACCATATAAATGCCACCTTTTCTTAATTCAAGTTCATCTGCTTTTTGAGGTTTATATGGATATAGTGCTATATATGCAGCTGGTAAATGAGTGTTTCCAATTACACCTGGAGACACACCCTGTGATGTCTGTGCAAGAGCAAGATCACTACTACCGCTTCGTCTATGTCGAAGATTGTGATCTACAATGCTGGTATTTGTCTAATAAATGAAAATAATAACTTACCATTATAATATAAAAATTAAGTTTATAAAATTTTTAATTATAATGATGTTAAATAAATTATTTTTCACCTGCAGTGAAGAAAATGAATCATTACTGCAACTACTATTACTGTTACCAACAGCGTTGTCTACTGGAGGGCTAAGTATTTCAGCACTATGTCTATGATGTACATGAGTCTGATGACTAGTATTAACAGCAGTGAAACTATGACGTTTAACATTATGTCTATTTCCAGCTGCAGGAGGAGATGTTGCTGGGCTACTAGGACTACTTGGAGCAGTGCTAGAACTGCTAGATGTAGTTGAACTATTAGGTGTATTTGGAGTGGTAGTTGAAGAACTACCTCCTGATGAGACATTTGAAATGGTATCAGAAACTGGTAAAATTGTATTCTGTTAAAAGATATTAAAAATTAGTAGCTTTTTACAGATATTTTTAATATTTTGAAATATTAAAAAATGAATCCATGTAAAAAATATTTTACAATACCTGCACAAGTTGAGGTCTTGGTTGACTTGTTTGTAAATTACGCGAATGATCAGTTGGTATAAGGGGTGTAGTTTCTTCATTGGTGGGTGTAGGAGGTGCTACTCTTGATGGACCTGGTTGTGCACTATTTAAGAGAAATAATATGTTAATATTTACCTAATATTGATTTAATGCTATATTTAAATCTTATTTCGACACTATATTCTAAGTTGTAAATGATAAAGATTACTTCGTTGAAAGTTTCATTAAAGCTCTTGCCACGCTATTCAATTCTACAAAAGCCAATGGAAAGATGCCAATTCTATCCAAAAGTTTTCCTTCTGCCCAATTTTCATCAACTCTTCTAATAACACTAATAATTTCACCCTGTAAAATTGTGTTCTTAAATATTCTTATAACTATTCTTATAAATGAAGATACTTATTATGTATATTCTATGGGTACTACAATTTAAATGTATAAATATTATACATATAAATTTTAGATTATTGTAGATGTAAATGAAGGTATAAGTGCATTAATGTACCTTATTAAATGTAAGACAGCCATCTTCATCATCATTAGTCATTCTAAAATCATACAAAGCTTTGCACTGAGGAACATCTGGTGTCAATGGTGCCATTACCTATAATATATATATATATATATTTATATATATACATATATACATACACATATATGTGGGTATATGTATGGTTATATATAAATTTGTTAAGTACTAAATATTTTTAACATTTTTATATTAATATTATAACACATTTTAAAATACCTGAACATAAGATAATGGAAAAACTCCATGACTATTAGCACTTTCTCCAAAATACCAATTATTATCAATTTTTTTACGAAGAATGACAATATCACCTTTCTTAAAAGACAAATCTCTAAAATATAACATAAATGATAAAATATTATCATTTAAATAAATATTAATTTAATTTTTAAAGAAATTATAAAATTACCCTGGGACTTTAGATATATAATCATAGATTGCTCTGCTATATGTCTGATTGTGTACTTGAATCTGTTTTGCTGTTGCATTGCCATGCCGAATTGGTTCATTTGTGAATGCAGCAGGAGTAGGACTAGTAGTTACGATAGAAGCTGAAGTTACTTGATGGCCACCAAAGAGTCTTTGAGAGCCTGCATTACTTTTAGTAATAGATTTTGTAGATTTAGGTGCTGCATTACGCATTCCTTCTAAAATACGCATCAGCAATACATTAGGAGGTAAATCATCCACTTTAGCATCAACTAAAATGCGGCATTCTGGGCAACGCAATTCGCGATGAGTGCTAACTATTTCTTCTAAACATTTCTTGCAAAAGGTATGTTGACAGGGAAGTACTTTGCTTGATGTATCTAATCGTTCGAGACACACCGAACATTCTAACAAATCATTCAACATACATTCGTCCATTCTGATTTGAATTTTCAAACGCTCACTTTTAATCTTTCTTTTTTCTTCAACTTATTCTCTTATGTCCGTTCTTTTTGAACGTAGCTTCTCCTGCTTTTCTAATCTTTCCACGCGTCTCCTCTTTTGTGCAGCCACAAGCCACCATACATTTGACGTACTTATCTTCTATACAACAAACAACAACGGTACTTGATTGATAATTATAATAGTCCACCAATAAGCCCACCTCAAAAAAAAATATGTAGACATGTTACTGAATCATTCTTGTAACTTTCGAACTATTCTTCCATCTCTTCATTTACCCTAAACCAAATATTCTTAGGCGCGTCAGCATACGCGCTGTCATCCAAGTACATTTCGTTACACACACCAAACCATATCGATCAATCGGACTCGTCGATTACAGTCGATTCTAAAATGAGCCAACAAATGTTACATGATACATCTATATACGATATAAATTTTACAATCATAGGTATAACTATGAAGCAACAATTAATGTACATACAAAAAATTAATTTTTATTAGTATACCTACATATCTATATAAGTAAAACAATAACAATTATAGAATATGCTTCCCTACTTTTTATGGACTTTTATATATATATATATATAAAATTTGTATAGTTATTTGGAACTTATATATCATAGGTCTTTATGTAGATTATATATTCTATATCATGAATCTATAAATACTCTCTAAATGACGAATTAATAACTTTTAAAACTAATTATTATGTACTTTTTTAAATTTCTTAAAAAATTTTCCTTAATATTTAGATAAAAAGTAACCAATGAAAATAATTTTTTCTATTTCATGAAGAAAATTATCTATTTGTATATCTACATATTATGCAAAAATATTTTTTCTTATATTTTTTAATAATTTATTTAGTAAACGATATTTATAACGATGATAACTTTTGTTTATTGTTGTGAATTTTTTGTTAAATATTATGATACTTACATTGTTCTCTATAGCATACACAACATTCATAATAAATTATTTTATTCTAATATCTGTTGTTATGTTATTGCATAATTAATCCTATAATACAACTTAAATTATATAACAAATTAAAGGTAATAATATTGTAAATTACTTTAATATTATATATAAGATAATATAGAAAGCAATATGTTTATTCATCTATGTATTTATTTTTATTCATTTACTTGTTTTCTTATAGATTGACAAGTAAGAAAGCAAAATGAAAACAGAAACGTGAGAGAAAAGTATCTTTCTAAAACTGAATATTTCATTTTAAATTTAGTTTCTTATAATTTATATAGTTTGTATTTCTTTGTTTTCAATTGTTATGAAAGTCCATGGTGATTTTTGTAGCTTTTCGATTTCAAATTTCATTTCAATATACAGAACGTACGTAAGTATTTTAAATTTAATAAAATATAAATTGTAGCTAAAACATATAATTAACCACTAGTATACAAATGAATACATTAACTAACATTACTATTTTTGATAATTGGTTCGATGCTTTTATTTGAAAATTTGTATATAAAATCCCCAGATTAAATAATTGTAAACTTGATGGATGATAAATGCGCATGCGACTATGATCAGGCAAGCATGACGTCACTTGCAAAGTGTCTATGAGATAAGAGTGGGGAAATTCAATGTACACGTGTGCGCAAGTACGTGTGCTTTTAGTACCTATAGCAGTGTGACTACTCAGTGATCGAGTGTGTAGCAGTCGGTTGAAGAGTCGACGCTGTTGTATGCGTATGACTGCGGGTTGAGAGATAACACGAGTGAATTTGCTGAAGCAAGGGTGGTTCTGTGTGGTCGCACTGTAATTACTGCAGCCCATGTGCTCTGCTTGTTAAAATGCTTATCAAGGAATTGTAAGTTCTTGTGAGATTTCTTAATGTTAATTTAATACAACGCGATAAACGAATTTGATCGCGCATTTAAAAGTAATTCTTGGGATATGGTTACTAATCTTTAACGATGGGTGGGATTGGAGGGGTAAAGAGGGATGTACTTTCATCCCTCGCCGTCCATACGGACGAAATTTTATGCACAATAAATAATTTTATTTTAATTGATTTTAATTGATAAGCAATGTTTTAAAAGAAATTCATTCGTCATACGTTATTATCAATCGTTCAATTTTTGGTGGCTACTATAGAATACTTAATTTTATACTTGAGTGTACTCAAGGTCGTTATTCATAAATATATAGTCACTTTTTACTTATTAACTAATTGAACATAAATATAATTAATTAATCTCTGTTACAGCCGTGTCACTTTACCTCTTAATGTGAAAGAGGTATGTATTTGATGAATAGCAAGTTCTTATTATAATGACCCACTTTGAAATGTGTTATTTCATTAGAAAAAGAAAAACTAACTTAAATTAGCTTTTACATCAGCATCATGTAATTAACAAAAATTGCAAATCATTTAATTCACATTTATTTATAGAAGTATGTGGTTATCTTAATTGTTGTTTTGAATTTTTGATCTAACGTATCCGACAAATGTCATATCATGCTAATTTCATTGTTATACTTATTGTTATTCAATTATTTTGATGTAGTTAATGTTATCCCTTGCTCCATTTATTTTAATGTAATTTTTAATTACTTGCAAAAATATATTTATTTATGTTAACTTTTTTTCATTTTTGAGCTTTGTGAGAAAGAAATTATCTAAAGTTATAGAAAAAGTAACATTTTATATGAAAAAAATGATAGATAATATGGTTTTGTTATAATAAAAGTTATACCTACTAAAAAAATGTTTCTTTGTGTTTACTTATTTCATAGATTTAATTTATTAAAATTAAGTTTACATTGTCTTCAGCTTATTTTTATTCTGTGCATAATTTATGTATTATGAAATATGATTTACTTCATGGCAGTATCAAGTGGCTCAGCTGTATTCTGTAGCAGAAGCTAGCAAAAATAATACTGGAGGAGGAGAGGGTATAGAAGTATTAAAAAATGAGCCATTCACAGATTATCCTCTGCTTGGTGGAAAATATTCTTCAGGTCAATATACATACAAGATTTATCATTTAGCTAGTAAAGTGCCTGCTTTTATCCGTATGATACTGCCAAAGAATTCCTTGGAAATTCATGAAGAAGCTTGGAATGCTTATCCCTATTGCAAAACAGTTATTACTGTAAGTATTATTTGTGCCTGTAATAAAATTTTGTGTGCTTTTCTAATTTATATTTTTATATATTATTATTGTTTGTGCAGAATCCTGGATATATGAAAGAAAATTTTGTAATTATAATTGAATCATTTCACATTGATGATGTTGGAGATCAACATAATGTGTGTATGAAAATTAAAAATATATACCTAATTTTATTTTTTATGTAGTATATTATTGCTTTTTAATCATTAGGTTCATGAATTACCCCCCGATAAGTTAAAAATGAGAGAAGTAATACATATAGATATTGCAAATGACCCAATTGCAACTGCTGATTACAAAGAGGATGAAGATCCAACTAAATTCAAATCTATGAAAACAGGTCGGGGTCCTCTTGTTGGGAAGGATTGGAGGAACAATATTCAACCTGTAATGACATGCTATAAGTTAGTCACTTGTGAATTTAAATGGTTTGGTCTACAAAATCGTGTTGAAAACTTCATACAAAAAGCAGAAAGGCGCCTTTTTACTAACTTTCATAGACAAGTTTTTTGTTGGATAGATCGTTGGTATGGTTTAACTATGGAAGATATTAGAGCAATTGAAGAAAATACAAAAGAAGAATTAGATAGGGTAAATCATTTTTTCAATATAATTTATTGTTATTACTAATTTTATTTTTTACTTAATTGCAAGAGATTTTTATATTTTTCAGCAAAGAGATCAAGGGGAAGTAAGGGGTATGCAGGCTGATGATTGAAGCTTTGATAGCTTCTATTTTGAAAGGTTAAATCAATTTTCTTATATGTCTCAGATACATACGCATACTTATAGAAATACACCCACATATGTTTTGTCATAGGCGATCCTGCAGGATCGGGACAATTTTCAGAATTTAAGTGTTTAGATTCAGTGTCTATTATGATTACTTATGATTTTAATTTATTTACATTTACAAGCGTTTTAGATAAATGTATCTACAATCGAAGATTATAATATAGCCAATAATAAGAAAGAACTGGTACAAATCAGTTTGACTTATATGATGTATAAAATAATCAAGAAAAAAGTACAGTTCGATAAAATATAGGTGAAAAAATGTAATTGTTATTTAATACCATAGTAGTTCGATATTAAAGTTTATAAATATATCATACAGAATGCTTGCTGCATAACAAATAAGAACAGTTGACATAAAAATTGCGAGTTCAATTACAGTTAGTGATTTGTGTTTTAAATTCATAATTTTATGATTTAGTGTAAGAAACTTTATTATATTTATATAACTGCAGTTTTAATGAATTCGTATAGCATGGCCTGAGGTTTTTCAAATCTAATTAAATAATGTATAATAATCAGAAAAATTAAACAAAGGTATTTTAGCAGTTCTATAAGTGAAAATTAATTATGTGATAATTTATTTACTAAAATTCGTATCAGGAATAGATAAAGTAACAAATGTCTAGTAAATTGCAGTAATTGTGTTTTGTTTATGTTTTGTGCATTTGATTTAAAGATTCAAAAAAGATATATATATCTATATATGTATGTATCAAAATTAGGACCAACTTAATGAACATTAACTAAATCGATTTTAATTATTATATTGATATAAATTTTTTTTGAAAAATATGAAAATTAAAATACTGAAAGAATGGATTATTGTATATAAAAAAAGAGGCATACAATGAAATTCAAATTGAAATGTTATATACATATATATTTCTTTGCATTCCAATAGATCTCTGTACAACAACTGAAATCTATATGTCATATCCAACATGTTCGCTTATGCAAAAACAAAGAAAGAATCCGATAAAAATATAGTTGGAAAAGAATCGTAATTGTCGTTTGCACAAATTATATGTATACTGTTACCTGTTATACTGGGATCTATAGTGTAGTATATAAGATAGTTTTAGAAATGCAATTTAGACAAAATAACTATTAACTTTCTGAGGTCTTAATACAGGGAGTATCAGAATTTGTGCTGCTCAGTTATGAATTTTAGCGTTTAAGTATGATGTGCGATCTTATCGAATAACAATATTAATAGAGATTTTAGAATAAAATCTCATTATGAGCAGTCTACCAACCCTATGCGTTAATGTTACTTTATTAGATAAACTATTAGTTATCACCCCATGACGAGCACGGTAGAAATCGTGAACAGAATTTCCTATAATATTGCTAAGGAGCTAATAATGAAATATTAGTATATATGTATATAAACATATAATTTTTGCATATTTACATATATACATATATATTTTGTAACATTGAATCATGTAGAAAAAATTAGTTAGCAGTTTTGACATATAACATTTATTGATTTCTTTCTTATATAAAAATATATATAAACATATTCAAAGATTATTTCATTAATTTTATATACATGTATGTATATAAAATATATACAAATATTTTGCTTGCATATTAACAATTTTAGTAAAAAAAAAATATATGGCGGATTTAAATATTTCAATGAATATTGTATTCTCTGATAACATTTGCTGCTATCACTAATCTTTGTATCTCCGATGTACCTTCATAAATTTCAGTAATGCGCGCATCTCTATAATAACGTTCTGCCGGCATATCAGTAACGTAACCCATACCACCTAAAATTTGTATGCATTGATGAGTGCAGAAAGTAGATGTTTCAGAAGCTGATAACTTTGCCATAGCAGCTTCCTAATGAACAAAAACAATTATTAGATTATGTTCGAGTTTAATTATTTTTTTTCCTTCACACCTTTGTATATGGTTTATTTCTATCTTTTAGCGCAGCTGCTCGCCACGTTAGTAATCTTGAACTTTCCAATTTTAGAGCCATGTCAGCAATTTTTTGTTGAATTGTTTGCAACTTAATGATGGCATTGCCAAATGCTTGTCGTTTTGCCGCATATTCGACCGCACAATCGACAGATGCTTGAGCTATACCTAAAGCTTGAGCAGCAATTCCTATTCTACCAGCATCTAGAAATTACATAATGTAATTAGTATATTTTTAGACATTGAACATTTATTTATTTTTTACCTAAAGTCATCATTGCAATTTTGAAACCCATTCCTGGTTCTCCTATCAATTTCTCTTTTGCTAATTTACAATCTTCAAATATCAATGAACACGTACTACTACCACGAATACCTAATTTATCTTCTTTTTTACCAAGAAAAAGACCATCTGTAGCCTTATCAATTATAAATGCACTTATACCTTTATGCTTTTTAGATTTGTCTGTTGTAGCAAATAAAACAATTGCATCTGATTCATATGCATTTGTTATCCATGCTTTTGTGCCATTAATTAAATAATTGGTTCCATTTGATATAGCAGTAGTAGAAGCAGCACCTGCATCACTACCATTACCTGGTTCACTAAGAGCAAAACATCCAATCTTAGTACCAGTTGTAAAAGGAGTTATATATTTTTCTTTTTGCTCCTTACTGCCAAATTTTTCTATTGGTCCTAAATACAAAGAATTATGTGCACTCATTATAACACCTGTGCTAGCACAACCTCTAGATATTTCTTCCATTGCAATAGCATAAGCCAAGTAATCCAATCCAGTGCCACCTAAATTTTCAGGAATTGTTATACCCATTAAACCCAGTTCTCCCATTTTTTTTATTTGTTCTTTTGGATAAAGATGCTTTTTGTCAATTTCTCCTGCTAAAGGTTTTAATTCTGCTTCTGCAAAGTCTCTATAACAACATTAATTATATAGAATATATTTAATAATTATATTGCAAAAGAAAAGAGTATGTATTCTAAGATTACAAATTGTAACGAAAAGTTTCTATATTAATTTATTTTAAAACATTACTTATAAAAGAATTAAAATGAATAAATATGTACATTACGATTACTAAATGAATAAATATATAAAAATTAGTACCTGCATGTTTTTTGTAACATTTGATGAGTTTCTGGTAGCATAGAAAGTCCAACAATATTTCGAGTAACATTATTATAAAATGTAGTTGTATTTTGTATAGCTTGTTTAAACAATGAAAATTATTATAAGGTTTTTATATTATACATATACGTAAAATAATATTTTTAAAATAAATACTTACTGAGTAATCTTAGTCTGTACATTTTTATAAAATTTATTTAAATAGAAATTAATTCTTCGATGTTTTATAATGATATAATACACTTTTAAAATTATAACAATATTAACATATCTAGCAACTTCGTTTACATGTAATAATAACTATATATACTATAAGCTGAATTCATAAGTGCAGATTGTAGCAAATGCGTCATTGGTTTTTGTTAGAAGATTTTTTATATGCTTACGATAAAAATAAACATATTTATATATAATTTGAATAGTTTTCCGAATATATGTAATTTATAATAATTTTTAATATGAACTATAGAAAATGATACGATACATCTATATTATTTAGAGATGCTGATATAACATCCTAGTGAAAATGGACAAAGCTACCTAAATAATCAAAATAATACAAATACATAATAAACTAAATCTATTATCCTTCTTATTTTAAATACTGCTTTCAAAAACTTTTCTTAAGCAAGTTTATAGTTTTTTTTACTTTTAGAATGTTTTTTTATTTATATTATATATTGGTTTATTTCATAATTATATAAAACTAAAATTTTACTATATTTTCCCGCGATATTTTCAACAGTGGTAATAAACAATCAATATGTAGCGTGGGTAATACGAAAATGTGCGCATGTACAGACGGTATTTCTGCTCGATAATAAGTAGTTTGTTTCTTCAACCCAGACAGTGAACTCTGCAAATTTAGAAATTAATATTTAGGAATTCGTACTGAATTAAAATCACAAGATGTCAAATAGTAAATGTGTTAAACAATTGCGCAAAAATTATGTGAAAGAACAGCAAGAAATGTCACATTCGGAAAAGTTGCGATTGATAGATGATGAATTGAATGCATTTTACAAGTAAATTAACTTTTTATTACTTTGTTACAATTTTTTTCTTTAAAATGTTTACAATAGTGATTTCTTTTTAATATTGTTATTTTTATTTCAAAAAGCAACATATCTTTTTATTGAAATACTTTTATATTTTTTAAATTTTTTCTTAATTTCTTTTGAATTATTGGCATTTTCTTATATGTTTTTTATACATTACATCATATATAGAAATATGGTGTTAATGTTAAATGTTAATTATATTTTTATATAATTTTGATTAATGATGATTATATTTTATATGATTGGTATACAGATACTGTCAACAAGCTGGTTTCACGGAAGAGGAAATGGATATTATTTGTCAACCATTAGTAGCTGCAATGCGACGTTCTTGGCTGCAACTTGTTTTCCGTGGAACGCTTGTTCTAATTATTCTTGGCACTTTGGCTTGCTTAGCAGCCCAACTTGATTTTGTTGGAACACATTTTACTGCAATCAGTCGTCTTTTACTAATTAAAGTTCTACCAATCTGGAATTGGCAACCCTTGTACTATGAAAATTGTATGATCAATAATCCTTTTTATAATGATTACATGATAACTGAAGAAGATTGTGTGGTATGATCAGTAATATTTATTGAGATATTGATTTTAAAATGTCAAAATATATTTTACAAAATTAACTTTTTCTATAAAGAAATAGTTGTTATATAAAGGTTTTTCCAATCATTAAGCTTATTAAAAATTATATTTGCAGACTTGTGAAGCTTTAGAAACCATTGATCGTTTGTCAGATGTGAGATACCGTAATCTTGTTGATAATTATTTAAGCAGGGATGCACCTGCCATTATTACAGATGCAATGGATTCTTGGGCAGTTATGAACACAGATTACTTTTGGTTTGATAACATTACTCATGTAAGTAGAAAAGTTACAATGCAAAGGACATATTTATTTCACATAATAGTGTGTTGATGATGTTTTACTTCTTTTAGTAATATAAATACATAGTTTAAAAATAAACAGTTATATCAAACTAAATAATTGGTGTATATTTTATTTGTATGTACAGCTTTATTTAGAAAACGAGCGCTTAATGGAAACAGTACCTTGTGCTTTAACCTCCAATTTAAGAACTGGTTCATCTGATTTGGCAGCATTTTTACGTCGGGTACATTCACCTGAAGTAGCTAAATGGTTCGTTCATTGGCAAAACTGTGATATCAATGCAGTAAAGGTGTTGAGAAAATATTACCAACGCCCATACTTCCTTTCAAGTACTGTCTCACCAGCGCATTTTAATTGGGTGCTTATGTCCTCGGATTACAATAGTCCGAGTTATAAAAAAGTCGAACTAGATTCAGGTCTTATAGCCTTAGCTCAATTACGTGGAGCTACGCAACTTCGTTTGACTCCTATAAATCCTTGTAATAGTTCTTGCCCCGAACTAATAGCAGATTTGCATCAAGGCGAGATGCGTAAGTTGAATAATTAGTCAGTACAAGATATGATAAGATAATTATCTTATATCTACAAATAAATAACTGGTAGAAAATTAAAGTAAATATAATAGGAAACTAAGAATTGATAACGTTATTTTTAGTTGTTTTTACTAATCTAATGTGGACTCTGGAATATGCGCCAATGAGAGGATTGGACAATATCGCAATCTTGACCGAAACCGTTTGGGAGGAGGATACATAAATCATAACACTTTTTTCTTTACATTGCATTAGTCTATGATATTCTAAGTCTAAATATATATCACGTGATTACATTATATGTATGTATATCCATTCTGCTACAGTGTCATAGTTCATGTTGAATAAAGTACTTTTGCTCATCAAATACGTGTACACTTATTTTGTAGATCGATCACTTCTTCCTTAATCAATATGTTTAATTTACGATAGCAGATATTTTTGTCGTATTGGTTTAATAGGACATGACAAAAAGGATTTGACGAGGATACCAAAAAGTAACAACAAACAAGATTTGTTTTTTATTAATTAATCGTTTATAATAACATTGTGTCTTTTGCTGACCTTTTTCTTTTGTAGCAGTTTTTTCCAATATTTCAGTTGGGCTAACAAGAAATAGATTGTTATGCACCGATTCATAGAAAAAACAAAGCGCAAGATTATTGAATGACAAACGTAGCTGGCGATTTGACATGCTTAATCGATGCGATAATTCGTTATATTAAAAGTTGTATGAGTGTATATAATCGATTTTCTTTTTTGCGCTACGTTCTGTTTATACAATCTTAGGATATCGATGCAAGAGAAGGAATGACAATAATTGGCGCCTAGCTAGTAACATCATCGAAGTATGTTCCTCGGGTCTTCTACTTTACACTCTGCGACTATTTATTTTTCAATTCTTCTCTTTCCAAACCAACGCTTTTCCTCTCTGATTTTTATTCTTATTATTTCATATATGCACCGATATACACACACGCACACGTATGCACATTCTTCCTCTTTTTTACTTTATTCTATCCTTCCATAAAGTGTTTTCATGGAACAAAGTTCTACGATTCCGAAGGGAGCTTTAATCTTTTTTAGAAGATTAATACTCATTACTAATAACTGTTGAAATATTGTGTATTATTCAACTAACCGTTATCTAAATTGAAATAACGCATGTATAATACATCTAGTTTTTTCATGATGTGGAAAACACTTTTCTGAAAGAGAGGTTTCAGTATGAGACCTAACACCGATTAATTAATTAATTTATTTTCCTCATCGAATTGAAAGGATTTTCCACGCGATGAAGACGGTCTTTTCAGCGAAAGAGGACTGACGAATGTGGATGATCATTCCTCAATCGATTATTTAGGACATACACATATGCATCCTCGGCACGGCTTATATCTGCAATTCATATTGTATTAGCTGTCGCGGTATCAAAAGATTGTTTTATACGAATGCATTCAACGACTAAATTTATAACAATGACAATGTACAAGTGAGATACTACACAAAAATGAGCGTAGACGACGAACGAAACAACTTCGAGGTATCTAAGAGAAAACAATTTTCTCTCATTTTTATATTTCCTCACACTTGTTTATCATATTTTATTCTTGATTTAATTTCTTAGAGCATTATTTACGTTTAGTCTGCGTTTGTATTTTTTTTATTCATTTCATATTTTTACTTTTGATAAATGTTTAAATAAAAAGATTCGACTAAGTATTATTCATTAGTTCTTAATCGTGTTCGACCGTTGCATTGCGTCAGCTTATTGTTCCTGTTGTTGTTTTAAAATTATTATCTCCTAAAATTTGGTCTGATCACAAAGAGAGAAGAGACAGAACTTAGCTCTCGATACGTGGAATACTTGAAATGGGTTTTCCCTCGCGTTACATTTTTGCTTTCTTTTATTACGACTATCTGCATGTTTTTTTTTTTTTCGTTTATCATATCTAACACTTAACAATAATAGATGAAAATTTTTCGTAACTGTTCCAACATTTTTTTTCGTACATACTTAATGCGGCTACAATTTGCAATGATTCTTCATTTCTTCTCGCATACATCCCCGTTTAAATCGCATTAATTTCATTTCGCTACGTGATTTTACTTTTATCGCTAAAGAACAATGAAAAATAAGGAAAAAAATAAAAAATATTAAAAACATGGAAGATGAACGTTACAGATTTGCTAAGTAATATTTAGTTAACACATTCACTACCATTTGAATGAAATTTTTAATTATAGGCTACTTATTGTTTCTTTTTTCTATCTTTAGCGAATATATCATTTTTTTAATACATATCGATTCGTTAATTTTTCGTGAACATTGCGAGTTAATTATTATTTTCATATGCATTTTTCCAGAGATCGACTGAATTCCCAAATTGATAGCTTTTATCGATCGGTCCTGATATTGGTAGCGAACGTGTTAAGTATTTGAAGATCTTAAATGTCACGTCAGTCTTTTTTCTTTTTTTTTCTTTTTTCGTTTAATCGCCTGAATCAACATTTCACATTAGATATGTTCACAGCAAATATTCATAGGAATTCTGACATCAATCGCGAGTTTATTCCGAGATCACGCAAGGGATTCTATCGGACAAAGATCAAGATAAACAAGTTTTCTACTCCGCTTAATCCATTGGAATGTAGTAAATCAAGAGGCTATCATAATTAATTCATTTTGATTCACTAGGTATTTAAGAACATATACAAAGTCAATGGCATACTTTGATAACAGTCTAGTTGTTATATAACAGACTATCTTATCGTTAAATCATAATACTTTTTCCAACGATATTAATAATACTACGTTTGCTTCTAATGAATCAAGCGGCGTCATTGATAAATATATTTTAAAGAACAGCATCGATATCATATGTATCCGTTTGAGTAGGTTTTTGATTCATACAAATTATAAGTTTTCGACGTTCGCGCGAAGAAGGGTCGGACAAGATACACTAAGTTAATTTTGCAATTTCGTGCGTTAAATCGAACACGACGATCGAGCAAGCATTACACGTTACATATTCCGTGTCTTTTACGCTGTAAACGATAATGTGATTAAGATCCGCGTTTTTTTGTAACATATCAACGTCCATAGTTTCCAAATACAGACTCTAAATATTAATAAAAATATCGTCATTTGTTGTTTGGCTTAGCTACTGTCGCGAAGAAAGCGGAAAGAAACAACTTGACGGAATTAAGGAAAATGAATCTACGTTTAAATATTCGAATCACTGTCTTGAGAAAGTGTGGTTTGGTCCATAGTCATAGTATATCCAGGCTTTGTAACTCTTGCTCGTTAAACGTTATGCGATTCAGCATGATCGACATTGCAAAAACAAAACTCACGAACCGATTAAGTACGAATCTGAATGATGGTGTCACTACGGTTGGCTCTCAAACTCGTGGCCCAGAAAACGATTCCCCTTAACAAAGATTCAATTTTTCACGAATAACGATGCGACACGGTAGTGGAAAGTCAGTTCAGGAAAATACAAGTCGACGACTTCTCGTTAAACCAAATTTCAATTGGGCCACGCGTTCGACGACCTGCTAATTAATTTCTACATTGTACACCTTTCGCCGCTTATTACCGCATCTGTCGACACTCGATTAACATGAACGGGCGAGAGGCAACTATCGGTTCCACACAAATATACCCGCGATATATAATAACAATTTTGACCAATTTGGTTTATGATTCTCAAAGTATGATACTGGCAAAATGACTTTTCAAATTTGTCACGCTTCCTTCGCCTTGCTAATGTAACAACACTTTGCAATAGTTAAATATAATATGTATATGTATGTGTATATATATTTGTATACATACATACCTTTACGTAGATATATCGATACATATATACGTATACGTATGTACGCATAACTGTATATGTATATGTATATATTTATATCTCATTATCGTAATATACGTATGCTATTATCTCCCATATCCCCCCCTCCCCCCATATTTTCTTTCGTCGATCGAATTCGTACTCCATTCCCTTGGAGCGGTATTAATTAATTAATTTATTTATTTTATTTATATATTTATATATTTATATGTTTATAACGTAGTTCAGTTTGATCCACGAGTCGCCCTATTATAAATCCTTCGACCGATTATTAAGTTAACATGTATTTCTTCGTGTCATCTGACTTTTGTTTTGTAAAATCATTTAATTTCATTGTCGTGCTCGAACATGACAAAGAGCTACTTCTCAGTTTATTCCTTTACGAATGATCCGCTTGCTTAATATCTATTCGACTATTGTTATAGTAACTCGTTTACTTCTTTCTCTTTATATGCGGGTAATGGTTTAAAGCAAATATCACTTGTAAATATTAGGAGAAGAAAATTAAACACCAGACGAAGAAAAACAAATGAAAAAGGGGAAACTAAACGACAGGGGACAAGAGTATAAAAGTCTGTTCTGTACTTATGTCACGTTTCGACATTTCCTTAGAATGCTCTGTCGCAAAAATGTCAGTCCGTTGTCTAACAGTTTGTAAAAACCTTTTGTAACGCGAAGTTTCAACAGCTTAAAAGTCTAAACTACGAAATAAAACAATTCTACTCTCTTTTCCTTTTTAACAAATTTTTATCAACTTCGCGCAATTTCGATTTGATCCACGCTATTTTTTCGCACGTATAGATAAAAGATTAGAAGAGATTAGATAAAAGATTATTTTTATTTATATGTTATACGTATTTTGCTCGGCTGGTTTCTGTCGTGATAACGTATTTTAGCATTCCAATAAACCGTCTACGTGATATTTAGGGCTTCTGTCGTAGATAAAGAAGAAGAAGAAGTAAGAGACGACAAATGAGGATAAAAAGAAGATCGAAAAGAATGCAACAAAGATTGTTCGTTATTTTCAGGGTTCTGCGTATATTCTGAAGAATCAAAGTCATTAATCGTGCAACTTTACGTCGAGATCGGTTGTAATGCTTTCCCAAACGATTTTCCCCGAATGGTATTATTAGAAAAACGCAAGCGAACATTCTTTCCTTTTTCATGTTGCTAAGGATTATAGGTGATCGTACGAACGAGGTTGTTGGTAACAATCTCATTAAGTAACTCGGTCTTTCGCGGACGAACAGTGCTTTTAATCGAACGATCCAGCAATGGTTTGCGAAAAATAATAACAGTCGTTAGCAGCAGCAACAGCAGCAGCAGCAATGGCAGCACACATTTATATCTGTATTCGTTCAGGGATATTCGCGAAGACCTGATCGGACGAGACGCATTCGTACGTTCCTGCCTGCGCGTCTCGCTTGCATTCCGCGAAAGTTTCTCCGTAATACTGATTTAACGACAACTCTCTTGACTCCTCGAGCTTTCAGCGTGGATCCATCACAACGTTGCGGGACAGAAATGGAGAAGAAGCGGAGCTGGCGACACGGGCAGGGTAATAACTCACTTGCCTAGTCCGAACTTCGTGAAAATCAGTTCTTTCCCTTTCGACAGGATATCGCCGCCAGCGCTCGCACCGGCCATCTCCGTGAATTTTTGCATCAGATTTGGCCCTGTACTTTGTTGCTGTTGCTGCTGTTGTTGCTGCTGTTGTTGCTGTTGTTGGCCCTGCGTGGTACTTGGTTGCGCTTTCGCTTGAGGCGTCGGCAATACAGTCGGTATTCCTCTCATCGGTTTACTTGTTCCCTGACTGCCTTGCATAGAAGAACCCTGGTTTTGTTGCGAGTACGGTTGATTCGATTGTTGCTGTTGTTGCTGCTGAGGCTGTTGCTGCTGGAACTGTTGGCCTTGAGCACCAAAACCTGCACCTTGCTGTTGATATCCTTGATTCTGTTGCGGATAATTTTGGTTCTGTTGATTTTGTTGCTGTTGTTGATACGGTTGATTCTGTTGCTGGTAGTCTTGTTGTTGCATATGCTGTCCAAGGTTCTGCATACCTCCTGGTACATTACTACCACGATTAATCACGCCTCCCCTCCCCTTCCCCTAAAAATTAAAGCGGTAGAAATTAATGAAATAGATCTTATAGTTATTCGTTTGTATCTTCGTTTTATCAACTTATTCGTATAAGTTTTCAAACGATTTCAACCAACTTGATTAATGTTTCGTTTAAGTGTATTAGTGTTATTGTTTCGAGTTCTCGGTGTCCTGAAAAGTTGAAATAAAATTATAGTCTAAAATAAGGGATTCCTTTGTGATGCTGTGTTCGTTGATCTTCGATCTAACTGAACATCGAGGTATATAGTTTCATACACATTATAATGATGTCTTGCTTTTTCCCTACTAAACTCGCAACTACCTTATGAAGTTCTATAAAACGTAATGCATTTAATACTAATATGTCGATGTATTGTTACCAAAATGAAGGGGCGGAGATATGAAAATGTATTCTAAAATATATTATTCGAGTGCGATATTCGAAACAAAACGTTTCATTTGATAGCCCAATTGTAAGGAGATTACTTTTGATTGACGTGACGATATGCTGACCTGTAAGACGCACAAATTTTACTCTACTGATACGAGATGTAATCGAATGAACTAAACAGGATTGTATGGAACAGAAGGAAAGATGAAGAATGAAAAAAGCAGAGAAAGAAAGAGAGAAGCAGCTGTACTCCAGAAAATCGTAAAACCTTTAATTAGTGAAGAAGCATGATTTACTGCGTATTCGTGCAAGTTACGTGGCTAATGTACATGCTTAGACGACTATCGATTAAAAGCATTTAGTGACAAGCTTGTTTCTTTTTTTTTTTTATTTAACGCAAGTATCATTGTTAAAGTGTACAATATTGTACATCTCTTTCTTTCGTTGATATTTATTCGAAAGTGTTAATAATAAGACTGAAACGTTGTACTTCGTTTCAAGTATAATCTACCAAATGCACATTCATGCCAAAGAAATGTTAGCTATAAATAGCTCATTGTCATGAATACTGTTATATCTTAAAGAGAATTTCACAATTTCTTTTTTTTTTTTCGTATAAATTGCAAAATTTCTCATTGTATCACTGTTAGAAGCACATAAATATTGTTGAAAAATGATCAGTACGTACGATAATTCACAAAATCGGCTCGCATCAACGATAAATTCGTCTAAGTTCATCATATAAATTTTATGTAACATTCTAACAATATATGGTACCGTAGATATTGAATATTTGTATTAAAAATATTCAATACCGTTAGTATTGTTAATTCACCAATCGCCTAGAAGTTCCAATAACATACCTGAATCATCGAAAATATTTTTGCAATCCTTAAATTGTCAAAGCCATCGGACTCGATTATCATTCTTTGGGTTTTCTTCCATAAATGATAGAGGTATAATGGAAAACGAAAGAATACTAGAACTAAAGCGCAAAAGGAAATTGAAAAAAAAGAAGGTAATAAAAGAGATGTAGTTGAGAAATTGTAAAAGTTTTGCAATGAGAAGATAAGAAGCACGCCAGAAAGCAGAAGTGAAAACTTCTGAATAGAGCAGTGTACTCACCTGCTGTTGAAGGTGGGGTGGTACGGAACCTTGCTGATGGGCACCCATAGGTGTGGGCCCATGTTGGTTGGACGTGGTTACAGTCGTGTAGCTGTGGTGATTCGCTTGTTGGTACGCTAGATGCGGTGGATTGTTTTGTTGATGTTGGAGTTGATGTTGTTGGTTGTTCATTAGTGATGGTTGTTGTTGTTGTTGTTGTTGTCTAGAGTCTAAGTGACAGACAGGGACAGACACAGGCACAATGCAGGCATCTAGCAACAGAGAAGAGAACAAGACCGTGTTGTCATTCATGGCGCATTTATCCTTTCTAAATGGACATTTAGACGCGCTGTCGAGTATGCCAAGTAATATTTTTCCACTTTAATGAAACTGTACTTTTCTTCCATCCATATTTATATATCGAACAATTTTTTTTCTCTTCTAAGTATCGTATTTTCTTTTTTTAAATTTCTATCGTATCTTTTTACTTTTTCGAATAATAATTTGCTACCTAACGTTTTGGAAAACAACGAAGCTCGGAATTACTCGGCAAAACCTGGACTTGCGCATGTTGTAAATCTTTCCCGTGGCTTTATGTTTTATGCTTCAAGACATGAAATTTGACAAAGCATTGCATTGATAATCCAAAACGATTCACGGGGGCGTGTAAATTGTTTCATTGTCTAAATGGCCAGCATGACAACACGACACGAACGACAATCATGTGACACGACGACCATCGATCAGTTCAGGCACACAGAAACATATTATGTCATTATATAGAATACACGTAATATAGTTATATACATATATGTACATATATATATATACATATATACATATATATACATATACAGTCTTTATACACATGCATATGTATATATATATATGTATATGTGTATGTATATATATATATATATATGTATATGGCGCAAATATAA